TGTTGATGTTGATTCTGTAATTTCAAGTGCTTCTTTAGCTTTGATGATATTATCACGTTCTTCTTTTAATTTCATTAATTTAATATCATATGTTGCTAATTGTGCTAATGCTTCATCAGGATTTAAATGTCCTGTAACAGGTTTATCTTTTTCCCATTCAGTTAATAAATCATTTGTACGTGTTTCAACAATTTTATCTTCAGCTGTTATTTTATTTCGTAATTGTACAACTTGATTTTGTATTGATGAATTTTTTCGTCCAAGTATTTCATTAAATGCTCCCCATTCACCTTCAATATTATCAACATAAAGCCAATTGGATGGAAATTGATAACGTTGACGTTCAAGAATTTTTTGTGCATCTTTATATTCTTCAACTTGTTTTTCCCAATTTTTCATTTTTCGTTTTAATGCTTGTACATATGTTATAACTCCAACAGCTTCACCTGTTGTTGATGCTTCTAATGATTGTGATTCAAGATCTGTACGTGCTTTACTAACATGTGCATGAAATTTATGCATATCTTGTGAAAGCATTGTACCAAATTTCGATAAAATTTCTTTATGCCATGAATCATATTTCATTGTAACTTTTGTTTGGACTTTATTATAATCAATTGTTATTGGTCCAAAATGTTTTAATGTTTCTTGTGTATCAAATGTTTTTCTTGCATCTTTCATTTCATTTAAACAAGCCATCCAATTTGTTATATCTTTATTAAGATGTGCATATAATTGATCAGTTTGTAAATCCCATAATGATTGAAAATCTAACCATGTATTAACATAATTATCAGCTGCTGTTATTAATGATTCAATTGTTTCATATGCATCTTCTAATGGTTTTGAAGTCAATGGTAATCGATTTAAAAGACTTTTAAATGTTGTTTTATATTCCGATTCTGATTCAATACCAAGTTGATAACGTGAATGTTGAATACGTTTTTGATTTGTTATAACACCTTCATATTCATATAATTCAAGTATAAGTTGTTCACGTGCATCATTCATTGGTGGTGAGACATAAAGTAATTGATTACTTGTACGTATTTGATGTAATAATGTACGTATTGCTGGTAATTGATCATGATTTGTTTTAACTGATGATGATAGATCATCTTCATCAGTAAATGTACTTCGTCGTCGTTTTTGTTGTTGATCATCAAAATTATTTTCATCATTATGACCTAATTTTAATGCATTTGTCCACATAATAATAGCTGTTTGAAGTCGTATAGATAATTTCTTTTCAATTTGTTCATCTAATTGTTGTACCCATTGTGCTAAATTTGAGTAGAGACGAAGTGATAAATCATCAACTGATTTCTGTATTTTGCTAAGAATATCTTGAAATGATTGTTGTGTATATGAACATGAATCCAATGATTTTAATTCAAGATCAATTGAATTTTCAACTGATATTAATTCATCAACACGTTCTTGAAATGTATAGATAGCTTCGGAAAACTTATGAACAAATGGTTCTAAACGATATGATTCCCAAACATAATTTGCACCTTCATTTATATGAGATTGTATATCGCGTTTAAGTGATGCAACAAGAAGTTGAGATGATGGACGATCAGTAAGTTTTGCAATTGCATTATCATATGTTCGAACACTTTCAATAAGTGATACTGCAAATGGATATAAAACATTAGCTTGATGAGATTTATTAATAATTGGTAATGGAACACGAAAACCAAGTGCACCTAAATATATATATATAAATTCAATTTTTTTATTTTAATTTGTTACTTACGAATATTTCTAACTTCTTTTGATAACATAATAATTTCCGGTGAGAAATTTACTTTTAATCTTGTTACTAAACCATGTAATGTTCGTGTTGATTCCGTTGCAAAAATTTTTCCTGTTAAACCATGATTTTTTTGTTGAACATTTTTTGTCCATTCTTCAAATAATGGTTGTGTATTAAGTTTACTACGAAAATTATCTCCATCTTGTTTTAAACGTTGTCCTTCGACATGTTGTTCCCAACTTTTACCTAAAACATGTTCAACACGTCTTAAATATGTATTTAATTGTTTTTCAATTTGTTTTGCCCATATGATTGAACCACTTGTTGGTGGTAAATCATTTGAACGACTTATACGATTTGCTTTTGAATGTATATATTGTTGTTTAAATTTTTCATGTAATGATTCAATATCATCTTTAACACGTTGAATTAATTGTGTTTGATATTCACGTATAGCACCACCAATATGTGGTCGAACAAATAATTCATGAAAACGTGAAAATATTCGAAACATTTCATTTGCATTTTTAGCTGTACCAAGTTGATCACGTAATAAAGATGTTATACGAGCTTCAACACGATCAATACGACCATCATAACGTTTCATAGCTAATTCCCAAGCATCTTGTCCTTCTTTACTAACATCAAGTGCATCAACTTCTTTAACACTTTCATAAGCTAAATTAACTTCATCAATAGCATTAACATCATTTAAAACATTCGCTGCTGTTATTGCTGGACGATTTTCATTGATTTGTCCATTTGTTGCTAATTGATTATTTTCTTTATCTTGTTCATCATTGATTGATAATTGTGTTTGAAGTGATGTTGGTACTGGTTGTAATAAAACACGATCAATAACTGAACGAAGTTGTTCATGTTGTTTACGAAAACGCTTCATGTGATCTAAACGTTGTTGTAATTTTTTATGTGATAATGATACACGCCATGCCATTCGAACTTCACTTGTACGTACTGTACGACGTACATCACGTACTTGTGTTGATAAACGTTCATATTCATCATCCCATGTTGCAAAAACATCATCACATGCTTTAACAATACGTTCAAAATCAGCATAACCAATATGCATTAAACGATATGTATTTAATACTTTAAGCATTTGTTGCATTAAATCTTGTGAAACAGCTTCCATTAATCGTCCTGCACGACTAACTGGATAACGTGTATTACGAAGTTTTTTTAAATGTTGAAATATTGTTGTTAATGCTGTACGAATTTTATCTAATTCATTGGCTGATAAAAGATCATTAATAGGAAAATCTTTCATTAATACAGAATGATCTTTAACTGTATCCATAGCTGATTTTAAACCAGTATCATTATCAAAACCAACAGTTGCATGAAAACGTTTCACTGTTTTAAGTATATCAAATGTTATTTGTACTTCAACAGATTCACGTTTTTCTTGTATACGTGTTAATGCACGTTCAAGATTAAGCCAAAATGATATTTCTTGTCTTGTTGAACCTTTCATTGGATCTTGATCAAGTTTAGTAACACGTTGAATTTCTCGTACCCAACGATTAACATGTGATTGAAGTGAATTAAGAAAATCTGTATTATCTAAATATTCACTAAAATCATCAACTTTTGCACGACGATTTTCTTCAACACATTTTTGTACAACTTGACTAACAATTGGATGTATAGCAAGATTAACTTCTGGTATTTCAATATTTTGTTGTAAATGAAGTAAACCCATTTCTAATTCCGTTATTTTCTTTTCCATTGTTGGTGCCATTTTATCACCATCACTAAATTCGACAAAAAAAACAAAATGTTGCTTTTATCTCCGAAACAAAAATTTATCTTTATATTACCGTTCACTTTTACCAGATTCTCGAACATAAGATTTAAAATAAGGTCCAATAACATGAGATATATATGCATGTAAAGTTTCATATGGACTTGAATCAACTAAATTAATAATACGTAATTGTGTATGAAATTTTTTATCACTTTCAATTAATTGTCCACGTTTAAGAATAACAAGTGAAAGCATTTTTGGATTCATATAATGAACTTCAGTTGATAATGAATATAATCCATTAGGTAATATTGCTGATGATGCAGATGAATTTAATGTCGATGGATCAGCAATTAAATTCGCTGCTGCTGCTGCTGTATCAGCTTCATTTGCTGATGGATCCTCTTTTGGTGTTATTGTTTTTGAAACAAGTAATGTTTGACATTGAGGATCACTAATGAATTTTTTAATACAATCAACAGATGCACGATCACTAAAGAGACGTTCAATATCAATTGTATTTTCAAGTGATGAATCAAGGATTGGTGCGCATACACGTTTTAAATAACCAACAAATGTATCTAAATCGGCTAAAGATACAATAACTGTTGGCGGTGTACTACTAGCTCCTGTAGGTGTATTTGGATTTACATCCACAGATGGATCATCCATAGCTGTAATCTAGAATAAAGTTTATAAAATAAGTACTAATAGAAGGTTATTTCTACTGATTCATCGAACAGAAACATAGAATACGATGATTCATCCAATGAAAACTTTAACTACTACTACACAATATTTTACATATATATATATAAATGTATGTATGTGTGTGTGTGTGCGCTCTGTTGTTCGATCAACTGAAGAGAAATGAATGCACCGAAGAATAGGCTGTAGTTATAACGGATCGATGCAACAGCAGGCAGAAAAGAAAAACAAGAAAGAACGAAAGAAAGAAAAATAATCTGAATAGGCATCTATTTATTTCTCTGTATCAAATGAACAAATTCATATATATATATATTCTATGTAAATTTAATCCAATAGAAAAAAAGAAACTATGTTACATAAAATAATTTTCTTTTTCTAATCACGTTTCGTACTTGATAAGATTGATATTTTTTTAAGATATAGTTATCAATATCAAATCTTTTCTTTTGCTTATCAAATATAAGACTGGAGCAAAAAAGAGTCCAATGATAAAACGAATATAATTATTGTTTATTTTTTCTATTAGAAATACGAGGAGGAGGAGGAGGATAGAGAATATTTCTAATGAACATAAAAAATTTTAATTATGATTTTTTTTTATGTTTCAATATTTTTCTTTGATATCTACAAAACAAAATATGGGTTAATATTTAGAAAAAAAAACACAAACGTCTGTTTTTATTTCTATTTTCTATCAAAAAAAAATAAACAAACAAAACTAAATCTTTAACAAGAAAAAAAACAAATAATTCGAAATTAGAATTGTTCTTCTTCAATAGGATTATTAACATTCTCTTGTTTTTTATTCAATGTTGTATTATCTCGATTTGAAAAACGTCGTTTTGATGAACCTTCTTCCACACGTAAACGTTGTCCTTCAAGAATATGTTGTACTTGTGACATAGCTCCTTCGAATGCTTCACGTTTATTAAAATCTACATAACCAAAACCACGACTTAAACCTGTATCATTATTGTATAATACAGTTGCTCGTGTTACATAACCAAATTGAGAAAAATAAGTACGTAGTTCATGTGAAGATACTGTCCAAGGTAAATTACGAATGAATAGTTTATAAAGTTGCTGAGCCATAATCAAAATTAAAATGAGATTTTAATCAAATCAAATATGAATATGAATGAGAAAATGATGATAAACGATGGACAAAAAACGAATGAATATATAATTATTGAATGACTGGTTAAATTAGCTATCGAATGAGAGAGAAGAATAAACCATGGAGAAGAGGGTTGCTTAGAAGAAGGAAAGTAAAATGGTATTTTGTACATTTTCATAAAAAAATAGCAAAACAGTAACGTTTGTTGGTTTATTTAATGGATGTACATATTTGTGAAGCTTTAAAATAACATTATGCTTTGTATTCATTTGAGAAACAACAGTTTATGAAATTGTTTTCTATTGTAGAGTTAAATAATGGTAGAATACACACTTGCTGGTGATGGTGCTGGTGAATTGATTGATCGTGATTCTTATAGAACTCGTCAATGGCCTGAACATGGATCAATTGATAATATCTATAAACATTGTGGTTGTACTGTAATATGTAAATGTTCATTACATGATGATTATACAACACATAATTTTCTTGTCTCGGATCCATTTTCCAGTCCATCTCAAGTTTCATCATTTAGACAACAACAAGAATATAATCGACCAGAAACTAGTGGTAATTATATTCTCTATCAAGAATTACTTGATCGATATCCACATTATGTTTTACGTGGTTCATCAAAATCGGGCGATACATTTTATCGACAAAAAGGTTCACGTTTTGGTTATGTACCATCATATCGTGTATGTTCAAATGAGTTATATAATAAACAAAAACAATGGACTTTAAAAACTCCACCAAGTAACCCAAATTTACCACCATCAACATTACCACGAAGTTTAGCATTAGGAGATGAATGTTCGGTAAATTCAAAGTATGAACGATGTGAATTTCCAGCTATACCATCAAGAAGAGTTTCATCAGCAGGTGGATCTAAAACAAGATCGTTTCATCGTAATAATTATTTTTATGATATGGCTTTGTGAGTAAAAACAAAAAAAAACTATCGGTGCATGTTTCAATATTTGATTTATGGAATTTTCTTTTTTGCTCTTCTCCTATTATGCATGCGCTCAATTTTTCTAATGAATTGCTTCTTCTTTATTTATTGAATAATATATTAATTTAAATCCAATTCTTTTCTTCTTTTTTTTTAGATAAGTAGTCAATTGGATCAAGATGAATAAAAAAAATTTTTCACCTCCGCTTGTCGATAATCGATTTGCATTTAGATCTCCAAGTATTTATCAGCCTGTAATAGAACCATCTTTTAATTGGAATCAATTTCGTCGTACTGAACTTCAATTTCAAAAAGCTGAAGCATTACATGATAGTCATGTTTATGATCGATGTAATTGTTCTATGGTAAACTCTTCAAGTAGTTCACCAGTTTGTATTGCTCATGGTGCTAATGAATTTATTCAAACAAAAATTGATGAAACCTTATTACCAACATCATCATGTCCATGTGCATTTTGTCGAAAAAAATTTAATGAAAGAGATCGTCCTCAAGGTTTACTAACAAACGAAGATCTCAAACAACTTTTCCCGCTAAAAGATGCATACGATATAAATACACCAAAGACAGTTACGTATTTATCACGACCAAACAGTGCTCCTATACATAAGTCATTTTCTTTACTTAATCATACATCTGCTCCACGTTATATTTCAACACTTAAACAATCAACACGATCGAATAATATTAGAAAAGAAATCAATATGCAATCAGCCATTCCAACAAACTTCGGTATGCGTTTAGATGCTGAACCTAATCATAATCATTCACAAATGTTTGATCTTCCACGTGAACGAGATGCCGTTTTTCGTAGTGTAGAAGATTATTTTCATATGACATCCCCTGGTCGTCCAACTATGATTTTATAAACAATGAACATGAATTTATTTTTTTATATAAAATTTTTTAAATAACATTTAATATTTCCATTTTATAAATAGATAAAAGAGTTCGTTTCTCTTCATTAAATAATTTGATCTATCATATATATATTTAAAAGGTGAAAAATATATTAGTATTAGATATCAATATTTTGTTTAACTTGAATAGTATATAATAAAACACTAACCATTATGTACACTGCATCATGACACATAGTATATGATGTCATATAAATAATAAGAACACCTTACATGTGTCAATAAATAATGACTCATGATTTAACTTATATAGTCACTTGTGAGTCATGGACACTTCCGATTTTATTTTGTAAAGAATGGCATATATATAAATAAGAGGTCATATCAATAGTGTATGAGAGAAAAAGAGGAAAGGTATTTTTTTATAACTCTTCGAGTATTCATAGATGTCTGAGGTAGTAGAAATAGATAGTTTTTATGGTTTAATAGAAGAAATTAAAGACATGGTAGAAACATTAAATAAACTAAAAAGTCGAATTGAATTACGATTACATGAGAATTCATCACGAAATTGTACACAGCATGTTTGTTTGATTCGAGAATTTCTCGATATTCGAAAATCAGTGAAAACAATATGTGATGCTTTAATAGATCATCGATTATCTGAACCTTCTATTGTAAGTCATTTTTTTTAATTAACAAAAGTGAAATATTATATTAAGAATCGCTTACTTACTTTCCATCATAGACTGTGAGTTATATATGGTGTTTGATCGAATCATATTCGACTTCACCAGAGGCCGTTCGTGAAGGTACTCATTTATTAGATCGTTTTTTTAAATTAAAAATGCATTCAATGATTAAACCAACTAACTATTACAATACAATAGTTGCTTATGTAAAATGGCAAAATGAAACTGTTCAATATTTTGTTAATGAATTTAAAAAAAAGCCAAACACTACAAGACTTAATGAAATTGAAAAATTATGGAATTGGAATTATCGACCAAATGAAGGAATATTTTTTGGTGGAGCTGCACGTCCACTTCATTTAAAAAAAGTTACAGAATTTGCATCAATAATGAGTATTTATTATGATAGATTATGGCCACTCTATAAAGAAAATCGTAGTACATTAGTCGATGCACTTAATACATTATTACATGAAGAAAGTCGAATATATTGGCCTGATTATGAAATATTTCCATGTAACGCATCAACTACAATTATGGATAAATGTTTACAATATTTCTTTTTTAAAAATCGTCATAATACATGGTTTATTAATAGTAGTGCATCAGATTATATTCCATTTGTAAATTCAGCTCGAGAAATATTTGCTGAAAAATTTAATGGATCTGATATGAGTTTACCGACCCAACATAATACAGAATGGATTTTAAAAAATCTTAAACAACGTTGTTTAAATATTTATAATCAAAATAATAATAATAATGGAATTGATCCAATAATTATTATTCTTTTAACATCAAAAAATCGATATGGTGAACGTATTGATGTTGATTCTATTCATCTAGAACTTAGTCAACATTTTTCAACTATTGTCACAATTGTTGATGGATGTCAAGACGGTCAAGCTTTTACTAATGTTGATATTGTCATTTATAGTAAACGATTTATGCAAACAGGAGCAATTGGATTAGTAAATCGAACATTCTTAGAAAAAAATCCATCATTACATAAAAAATTATCACTTTGTACAAATTTTCCTATTGGAATATTAGCTCAAATATATATTAATATCAATATGATGAATAATAATATTGCACATGGTGTAGAAGATCTTGTTAATTCTTCTTGGTGGCATTTTTCAGAATGTCCAATTCGACATGAATTACATTCTGTTATAGATGATTCATATATACAGCAAGATCGTATTGAATATATAAGAAGTCCTATTCGATATTCATTTACAAAAGATCTTACTGGAACAATTCTTATGTTGACTACAAATAATAATGCGCATGTTATATTACCAAAATTATGGGCATTACTTAAAAAACAAGGTCATTCGGTAGATTGTTTTGTCATGGATAATCCATATTTGAAAAGTAATAATGGAATACGAAGTGATAAAGTACGAGAATTGATTTCAGAAAAATTCATTAGTGAATTAAGACGACTTGAAACACTTTCAAGTGATTATTTAGCATGGCCATTAGTACCTTACTGGGTATCAGAATCGAATGATACATCTGTCGAACAACTTAATCAACATTTTGAAATATGTCGTGATTATCATTGTTATTTACGTATTTCACTTGGTCGTTGTAGTTATCCAGGAAAATTAAAACGTTTCATCGAACATATTGATAATATTTTCGAAAAAAATGAACTGGATGTATCAGATGATGTTATTGGTACACATTCATCACAATGGCCAACATAAAACTTTTGATCTAATCTATATATATATATATGACTCGCTCTTACAGTTATTTATATCAATTTGAGAATGATCATTATTGTATCAACATTTCAAGAGATTTTCTAATTAATCTCCTTCGATTAAACAAAACTACAAAATTAATTCATGTATGACTTTATTCTGAATGATTTATCTTTTTAAAGTATAAACATATCTCGTCTATTATAAACTTTTAATTTAAATAGTTCTCTATTTATATGACATACCAAAATTAGATGTGAGGTAGTCAAGGTTTAGAGAAGAGACACCCACACTCATATTTGGTTTAAATAAAAACTTTTCTCATTTTCCAACGACAAAATTATTTCATTCTATAAATTTTCTGATAGTTAATTAATTAATATACTGAACTTTTAGAAAAAAAATAATATACGACATACTGATATAATAATTATTGTAACAGAATTAACAAACAACTATTTTTATTCTTCACTTCCTTTTGTCAAGCATGAAAATATTTCGATCATTATTTAATTAAAATATAAGCTATTTCTTCAATGACACTAGAGATGTGAGACAAAGCTTAGATTTATTGTTGATGATTCGAAATGATCAAAGATATGAATATATATTTAATAGTTTCTAACTGAATATAAAAATGATTTGAGGGTGTGTGTGTATGATGGCTATAATACTCATGCTGACACCGACACCTATACAGTTTTCCGATACTTCTGCTTGTTGCTCAACTATCCTTACTGAGTGACATTATCGGTGTTTACGTCTACGATCGTAAAATAAAAAATATTTGTGAAAAAAAAATTCGCCGATATGTTTAAACATCACACTTTATCTTAGTTATTTTTTATAAATAAATATTATTTTTTAATTTTCCGGTGAACTAAATATGACGCAGTAAATCTTGAGTGTGAGAGTAGGTAAATATGATTCTGTTTTCCACATCGTCACCGCTCGCTCTCAACATAGTTTTGTATGTTAACGCTAAGAAAGAATAAACAACTGGCAAGAAATGCAATAAGAATCACTTTTCCAAATTAAACGTGCAATACTTTTATTAAAACACAAAAAGCAGAAGAATAGAATATTTTTGATATAAGAGAAAAAACGCACACTGAAAAATCATGAATAAGAGAATAAAATCAAGAATATAGTTCGCGATGAAGAGAAATGGATCATTGCTTCATTTTGACTGATCACATGGTTCGAAACAGAGCAACTATGACCGCAGCACTGACCATTAAAATGCTCATACCATTTATCTTTGCTCCATTACAAAGATTGGTTGAGCAACATGTCCAGCCGGATAGTATAGTAGTGGAATTACAACTAATCCCGGCCACACCGGCTTTCGTTGTGATACCACTAGTAGTATATTTCTAACATAAGAGAAAGAATATTATACATCAAATTTCATATTATTTAAAGATTACTAACGTAGCAAACGTCATAGCCTGATGTTGTGACGTATATACCAGGAGACGTCCCAACATAGCAGCTAATGCTCGCCGTGACCACGGCAGCTAGTGCTAAATAAAGAATCAATGAAAAAATGGATAAAGCATTGTTTGTAGTTTACTTACCGAGAAGAGTGGCAATGGTGAAAAGAAGCTTGTTCATGGTTGCTTTTGTATTCCTTCGAGTGAGATAGTGAAGAAAAAAAAATAAAATGAATATAAGCACGACGTTGTCTGAATTTATAGTGTTGTGTGAAGAGAGCAAGTGTTCACTTTAGTTGCTATGTTTATGAAACCGTCCGACAAAAAATAAAGATTGTTGCTTAGAAATATCTATTTTCTAAATGGAAAATTTTATTTTCCATTCTCTCATAAAAAGATTCAATTTAATTTCAAGTTGTTGTTATAAAAAACTCTAAGAAAATTTTTTTTTTATTTGCTGTGCGCTAAGAGTGCACTTTTACTTAATAAAAAAAATGGAAAATAAAAACTCTGTTTTTTGTGTTTCACACTGTGGAAGATAGCGATCAAATAACGGCTATTTTAATTTTTTTAATAAGAATAATGAATATCGACAAGAATCGATGATTTATTAGAAACCCATTTTGAAGAAATATGTGCACTGTTCTACTCGTAAAAACATCTTTTCATTGATTTTATCATTTATGATGATGATATTTGTTCACATTATTTTCAATAATTTCGCTATAATTCTATGCAAATCATATCTTTAGAAAAAGTTTCAAAGAATGAATGATCAGTATTTAGACTATCAGTAGATACTTTGAAAGTAATCAGTTTGTTGAATAAGCTATCAGTAACAGCATTAACTTTTTAGCAGTAGAAAAAGAAAATTTGATCAGTGAATAAGATGAAGTTACTAATTGAAAAACTATTTATTCATGAAATATAATATACAATAAAGAAAAAAGGAACAGAAGTAAATAAATATCATTTGTTTCCATTTCATCCAGCGACGAACCCAGAGGGGAGATTGAAGAGACCGGTTCTCCTTACCCTGAAAAATATAAATACCTGGAAAAGAGTACGGGTTTATCAAATGTTGCAAGCCGAAAAACAGCTTTTCTACACGGTAATCCCCTCCTCGGAAAAGTTTTTGAATGCGTGCTTGACTTCATCATCGAATGATTCGTTCACGTATGAAACAACTTTTTATGTATTATTTAGATGAAGCTTAAATCTAAAGTTGAATAAAATACATTTATCTAGTCAGTCATTTATAGCAAACCAGAGATAGAAAGAAAACAAATGACAAGTCGAACACCCTGTAATCTATTTTGAGTTTCTCACTGATGGTTTAGTATAACTGACTATTAACATATTTTATTTATTAATCAGATAATTTATTAAAGAGTGCTTTTATTTAATAACTAATCATTTGATATATTCACTGATCATTTATTCAATCAACTGATTTTAGAATTTTTAATTTTACTGATCCATTAAATCCATGCTCTTTTTAATTATCTTTGAGCTGAGAGTGTGGGTGTGTGTAAATATCTTATTATTTTTATATGCACACTCACACTCATACCCTATTATTTAATCATATATATAATATATTAAAATTTCATATCATTTTATCACCATATATTAATATCAGGGATATTTATATTATTTTAAGATAATTTAATGTCTTGAAAAATCATATTGTTTGAGCATATGTAAACAATATCACAATCCCTTGACAAACAACCAAACATATTCGAAAAGCCATGCATCATTGAAATATATTTCTGTGAAATTTATTTAGTTTTTCTTTTCCTTTTCTCTTCACACACGTATTTATAATATTTATTTCAATCTTTTTTACATTAATAAAAAATAACAAAAAATATTTCTTTTTTTTTTCTTAATTTCTTTTTAAACGTTATTCGTGTTGACTTGATTTATTAGAAAAATTCATAATCTTCAAATACATCCTTAGATGATATCTGCATTTGTGGATAATTTCATAGTTACGATTGAAGTATTTTCTCTAGGGAAAACAATAACTCTGATAACCAAAATCTTGAGGGCGTGGGTCACCATCAAGAAGGCAGAAAATGTTCCTCTGTCTGATATGATGAATGCATTTGAAATAAATGCACTTGGCCCATTTTGTTATTCGAGTTCAAAATGTACATTGGGTATGGTCAATAGTATTTCTACAAAGGAGTCAGTAAATGAAGGATTTACTATGGTTGCAGTACATTCAAGTATAGTGACGACTGGTGTGCGTCTCGATTTGAACTTACCCGGTGCAATGTCAGATATACAATCGATAGAAACTGTTGATGGTATTTTGAATAATATCGTATTTGCAAAAGAAAATTTGAATGAAAAATGTATTGCATGGAACGGAGATGTCATGCCATGACAATTGAGCAAGGAACGACATTTCAAGAAATATAACAATGTTAAAGATCATTTTTTACCTTAGTGAGTATATTCTTTCTTCTTAGTTAGTTGGGTAGTATGTGCTAGATCTAAAGATTTTGACTTCGATGATGATAAATTACTAAAAATTTGTTGTTTTACGTACATCGGCTCTATATAATAAACGAATAAATAAATTAAGCCTCTATCTTAATTATTTGTTTCAAAGTGAACAGACAAAAATCATCTATGACTGTGTACTGTATTTATATTTACCTATTGAATTTACAAGAAAAACATTCATTCAGATCGGAAGGTTGTATATTTTGAAATAATAAAGAAAAGTGAATTTATTCGAATGTCAATGGCAATGATGCTTGATCATTTTCGAACGTGCCACTCTTTTTCATGACTAGAAAATTTCCTTGATTTTTGTTTGTATTTGATGAATAAACTCCAATATGATCCACCAGATCTGGTGTAGCATGACATTGTAGAAAAGATGAACGATATTCTTCAAAAAATTGATTTAATTGAATATCAATTGGTATTGATTGATTTGAATTAATTTGTTTCAATAGAAATAACTTCAATGGTTTAACGACATTTGATGAATAGATTTGCGCAAGAGCTCCAGCTGTCGATGATTGCATAATATATATTTCATGTTTGGAAGGATAAATAAATTGCAAATTTTGATGATTGACTGATAATAATATAATCAGAATGAATAAAAACCATAGGAAAGAAAATAATAAAAAGGTAACAAAAAAATTTGTATTTAAACGAATAAATCGGAGAGATATTTTATAATCAGTTAAAAGAAAGATTAAATTGATTAATAAGGAAATAAATAAGGAGAAAAGAATTAGACGTGGTCCATCTTTTCTTTCCCATCCATCCCAATAATCTGTTTGAAATAACTTTATTAAACTACAATGTTGATCATTATTAGAGATTGTCGTTCGTAATTTTTCAAAGAAATTCTTCGTAAATATAAGATCATCTTGAAGAATTAGTATATTACTCGAATTTTGTTTTTCACATATTGATAAAGCAATTAGATAATCGAGAGCTTCATTGAATGCCCATTGATCGGATTGAGAATTGAATTTCACATTTCGATGAACAAAGTCGAAATGAATTGAAGAAGAATTGATAATCTCAAGAAAAGTTAGTTTTGCTTGAGATAATTGTTCAGCATATTTATGAAGGGACGGTGGTATTGCTGAATTATAGATAAAAATCTTTGTTTTTAATTTATTTTCGTGTGTCATTGATGAGACAAGTGAAGAGAGAGTATAATGTAATGTTGGATGTTGATTACGAGGTGATGTTATTAAAATTGTACAAATATCTGACGTAAAGTTATAATTTGAATTCAATTCTTGTTTTCTTATTAGTTGATTCCAATAGATTTCTGCATGTCGAAATTGTTGATTCATTTCAATATGTAAATCTTCTTCATTTGTATTATATCGATAATACCATGTGTAACGATAGTTAATTAAATAACTATACGCAAATATCATCCAAAATGTAATCGCTAAAAACAATCGAATGCAGATCTTTTTCGTTGGATTTAATAATAAAACCATATGAGTAATATATCAGTCAGTTCTAAATGTATGTATAAAAAATGCTATACAAAAGAAGAAAATGATGATTTCTTGATGTAACATTTACATTCGTATGTTTTTTAACGGTAAAAATACGTTGTATGAAAGTGGCACCTAATTTTCGTGTGACATCGTGTAGACGAAGCAAATCTTATAACTAAAGGTAGAAAAGAAATTTTCTCAGTTTAGTTTTGCGTTTAAAAGAAAGAAAATTAGTGATCAGCTACTAGAGTAAGATTTTATCACACAGTATTAAAAAAGAAAATTTGTGCATTTGTCATACATCATGTCAGTTTCCTTACCATGAATTTTTATGTTCTTTCCTTCTTTATCTATGTTAACCTTGAAACTTTCAATTGTGTATGTATGTGTCTTTCTCTTACAAGTGATTTAATAAAAGAGAGCAGTAAAGATAAATGAAGAAATAAAACAGTAAATGACTCTTATGAAATACGTAGAACTTTCTCAAAATTCAAAGGCTTTTATATTATTCAAACTTTCTATGATAATCTTTACCATTATCAAGAAGTAATTAGAAAAAATTACAGTAAAACAACATTAGAAAAAAATCATAGTATTAGATAAGATACGATTGATCGAATATGTACATGTTGAAGTAATAAACAATCGAATACATAATAAATTAGACCTTCACTTGAAGCAAGTTCAAGAAGGAGAAAGGCGGCTGACTGCAGAAGTGTAACAACCCTCATAAACGCGAAAAGTTGAACCATTTAAAATTTAGTTTTATTTTGTTCTCAAAATCGATTAATTGAAGTCAGATAAACAAGCCATCGAATAATTACTTTTCATAGATTAGACTCTATCATGATGGATTTAAGTCACAAAAAAACGATAATTAAGATATATATGCATGTAGTATCTGATATATCAATAGTCGCATGATACTGAGTCACAGATAACCATATGAGGAAATCATCATATATTAATTCTTTTTTGAAATTATGTATCTCCCGCACGGAACTGAATTTCAACAAACGGTTTTCAGATGTGCACTCAGCACGTTCTCACGAATATGGCAAGCTTTTTTCCGATTGAAAATGTTACTTAGATGCTAACAACGAGGTGTTGATTTGAATCGTGACTCATCTAATGAGAAGAAGAATATCAAACGCAATAAGTCGACTGCTGCACTTCATGCAGTCAGCTGCCTTAATAACAATTTATACGTATTCAGTACTTTTTTGTTTCTATTAAGTGTCTAAGGATGTGAGTATGGATGTGGGCGTGAGTATAGTAACAAACAAAAGAAGTTGACACTCATGAACACCTACACCCTCAAGATAACCGCCCCTAATAGTGTGAAGTCCTTAGAAAACAATAATTCCTGTAAGGAACAGTTAGGGTGTGCGTGTGTAGTTGTGGATGTAAGTAGGTGTGTGAGCTCTTCTCATTCATTACTCACACCCGCACACACCCACATTCATACCCTTGCTTTGAAATAAACTAATTCTTTTGAAACTCATAAAATCATATATTTATTAGAGAAAAACGGGAAAAAAGACAGAACATAGAAGATAACAAATCTATAAACTATAATAATATTTTGATTAACCCTCGAACGGTATCCCCATTTTATCACACGAATGGTCTTTGTGGGTCCAGGGAGACCCACATAAAAATAAATTAGATGAACTAGATTTTTCAACAATTTTGTAGTAGATGCGGTTTATTATACCTTATACCATACCTTTTATCAAACCATGAATATATTAGTATGCCTATTGTTTATAAAAACGACGGATTTTTTTCATGAAAGTTTTTAAAAAAAGGTTATGATAAGATTTTGATTTTAAAATATTACTGAATGAATATAACAAAATCGTCAGAAAAGTATTTAAGAAAGTAAATGGTTTACTAATGATAGGGTTGTACTAACGAATCTAGATTCAATAAACTCCGAAAAAATAGATAGCAGACGGAATATGTATTAAAATCGCTTGTATAACATCAAAGGTATCAGGGGGTCCGTATAGACCCACACTTCAGTTTTCTAATCGTAAGGCTTTAGTACGAAGTTTAATATGGCGTATGTCTATCACCATATGACCAACGATTAGCAGAGAGATGACCCCAAAAATGATGCGTCTTCGTGTATAAAAATCAAAAAAATAGTATTGTGGGTCTTGTCGCACCCACAAAAACCGTTCGAGGGTTAAATATACATCTTTTCCCACTCTTAGGATATTAAAAGACGAAGACAGTCGCGAGCTTTAATATATCCGTTTATTTGCTTATGTTCAATTCCAAGTGTTTTGCTTCCAATTGCGATGGCTTTTTCGAAATGGTTTATCGCTTCGTGCATGTTTCCTTGTAAACCTAATGCAGATCCGATCCAGTGATGTGTATCAGCGATCTGATGGTGATATTCGGGTAGAGAACTCTGTTGTATGTTGAGACTTTTTTTAAGGAATATGAGTGCATCGGAATAATAATCGAGTTTGTAAGAAACAACGCCAAGACGTAAATAAGAAACGGCTATTTCCGGATGTGTTTCTGGTAAACATTTCGAACGCAATTTAAGTGCTTGTTTATAATAAATACAAGCATTGATAAAATCTTCTTTCATTTCATAAATTCTACCAATAGATCCGTAGCCACTAGCAAGAGATGGCGAATCGCGTTCGATTTTAACATACTCTAGATAATATTCCAAAGCTTTTCTCATGCAACCTTTCATAGAATAAATATAAGCTAGATTACGGTATGTTTGAATAAGTTTTGGATCGTTAGAACTTAATGTGCGTCGTTCAAGCTCCAGTCCTTCGATACACATTTTATTAGAATTGTCGCGATCGCCAGTCATCCAACTGACCATGCTGCAGTTAAAAAGTGACGCTGCTGGACCTTCGGTCAAAGGTTTCATATAAAACAAAGCAATCTGTTCGGCTTGCTGATATTCACCCATTCTATACAGTAGATGTATAAGCTTTTGGTAAGGCGGAATGTTCAACATTTCGAGACGAAATTGTTCAGTTACTTGCGTCAAGTATATATCGTTATCATCGGTCAAATGCAGACGAATAATAAACGTACCGACATCATTATTTAATTTTTCGATCGTTTCAATACGAAATACACTACCCATTGAAAAAAGAACTTCTTCCTCACCACTACCAAAATTACTTAAATTTTCTATATTAGCAAAAGTAGTTTTAAATGAACCATGCGACACGATGATCTCGAAAACAACAGCTATCGAATTATCTTCTACATTTGAAGAACCTGCATAGAACATTGCCAAATCTCGATTGTAAGTTGTCGATAGAAATTGATTAAAAGATAGTAAACAGCCTTGATTTTGCATTAATATATTAAATTGAGACGCTGGCATGTGAACACCTCGAAAGAGCTTTGGCCATTCTACATTACTAGACATTTTGTGAAGTGACAGTAATTCCATATGAAGATCTTTAATATAGCGACGTAAATGTATAAGATTTTTGATATCGAGAGTACGAAGTGAATCGTTAAGTATTTTGTATAAAAATCCATCTTGAGTGTACCAATGAATAGGTGATTGCTTGAAATAGAGATCTTTTAATTCATTAATAAATTTCAAATAGATTTTATCATGATAATATTTTTCACGGCAAAAATCAATCATAATTTCAAGAGGCGTATCCATCTCACAAAAAATATCTCGTAACAATTGTGAATACATAAATGCAGCTTCTTGTATATTGCTACTTTTAGCAGCTCGTGTTTTTTTCATAATATTGAAAGCAATTTGATCATCATCATTGCAGTTAAGTGCAGTACTTTGCATTTGCTTGCAAACAGTATCGAAATTAACGTCGATTTTTCTGTCGAAGCGAAATAGTTTGATCGACGGTTTATTATTCATAACGTAAATAAGAAGCATCGATTGAATACAATGGATTTCGGAGAAAACGGACACTACCGGCGCGTCGACAATTGATGATGTGTCGGCTGTAATAGTGAGAACAATGTGTTCATTGACCAAGTCTGTTACGAAATCAACACAAGCATCAGCATCTGTAAATTGGTGATGTTGACTGATTGTTTTATTCATATGATTCCATAGCATCTCTCGATTAGTAAGAATAGAACATATGTCCAGCCACACATGAAAACAGGTACTATTGGCACTGTCAGACATATAGCTGTATTTATCTAAAATAAAAACTAGTAATAATGCTGTTATCGCTTCTTCTCGTTCTTTATTCCTTTTCTTTCGTGAAACAAGAATCCCGTTTCTCTTCATAATATTCACTCCTTAAATACGCAACGATATCAATAGTACGTGAGGAAATGAAAAAGAATCAGCATTCTTCATGGTAGGAGATATCATGCCATGACATTTCCCTTTCCTACACACAAACGGAGAAAAAAAATAGTATAACATAGAATGAAAACAGCAGAGGTTGTGTTATTAAGATTTTTTCATGTTTTCTTGTTCTTTGTATCACAAATACGGAACATATTCAACGATTGTCAATTATTGACGTTGTTTGAAAACTCTGTTGACCTTATTCGTCGCACTATTTGAGAGTACAACCGCATTACTCGATATTCTTTTTCATCAATTTAGTGGGATTTTTGTTTTGTTTCTGTACACATGTATGAGAAAAGGAAAGAAACATGTTTAATATTACCATCAGGTACTCAACCAGATTCATCTGTTTATTGAGTAGATGAATTTCACGTTTATGTACGATCGTGACCATTAATATCATCAAGAAAACAAACAGGAAGATTTAAAATTAGTGCCATCCGTTATATTGATATTTCATCTTATGGCCAAACAATGCAACGTGTTCAAGCAGTTTCAGTACTTGTACAACTTCATTTATATTACTGGACATTTGATCATTTATCAGAAAGAGTAAAAAAGATAAACGTTGGTTTACTCCCCTCTTCACCTAAAA